TCTTAAATACCTGTTCTTTCAATTTACTCATAGCATCTGATTGAATAAGTTGACTAAGTATATCAAATGCACGAGCACGTTCATTTCCTTGAACAGATAAACAAAAGGGTTCAAGAAGCTAAATAAAAATAATAGATTATTATTAGAAATGGTTCAAAATCCTTGTTATTTTTCTTACATTAACAAGACTAGGAAATGTTTCATGTGAATCTCCTAAACTAAGTATTTCGATGATCAGTGCGCTAAGTGATGTAGAAATTTCATCTTTTTGAGTTGTTGAAAGATCCTAAACAAAAGAATATATTATTAGAAAAATATATTATAGAAAAATGTGAAGACACTTACAAGTTTAGTCGAACAGTACCAATGTAGAGCAGCTCGAGCTAATTGATATTTTTCAGGAAGTGTTTGTCCAGGTTGAAGAACACTAAAATAGTAAAAAATTAATTAAATACTTATTTACAAATAAATTCTATCTCTCTTTACATCAATGCATGACATGCTCTAATACATTGATTAAATGTTAATGGTTGTAATTTTACATTTGTTTCTTGTGCAATATAATTCACCATTTCTTGTACAAGATCATTTCGTGATGCAAAAACAAAATCAGTTTTTAAGTGTTCTTTGTTCATTGATTGTGCAAGAATAACAAATGATTTAGCAACAATTAATTTTCCTGTTTCTTCTCTTATTTGTCGAGCTATTTTAAGTGCACTAGTAAGTATACTTGTTTCTAAACGTGAAACAATTAATTCAAGTGGAGCATATATTGAAACATATGCATAAGCTAAAAGTGCTGTTGCACGTGATAAATCAGAACTTGTATCAGTTTTTGAACCAAGAAAACCAAATAAACCACCACCTCCACCTGATGATGAACCGGAACCTTTTGAATCAGTAATTTTCAAATATAATTCAAGTCTTTGTAATACTATATCGAGATGTGTTGCTGAACATAAACCAAACATAGCTGCCCAACCATTTCGTTCATTTTCATGTTGAAAATTGATCACAGTTGTCATTGATTCAAGTGTACGACTAACAAATTCTTTTATTTTTGATTTACGTAATACAATACCAATACATTTATAAGCAAAACCACGTTCACGTTCTAATTTTGTGTATAAAGGTAATTGTTTAACAAAACAAGCACCTATGTCACTAATCCAATCTTCACGTTCAACAACATCAAGTGTTTTCGAAAGAAACTAAAATATAATATTTGTTTATATTTATAAAACAAAAAACAAAATGATTACTTTAAGTATAAGATCTTGCCAATTTGATGAATCAAATTTTTTATATTCATCATCATCATTACTATTTAAACTTTGAAGTAATCGTGGAATAACTTTTTCCCATAATTCTCGTAAGTCAGTTTTAAGTTCTGTTACAGCAACACGAAGAAAATTAAGAATTGATATACCACGTGTTTCTTCAGCTAATGGTTCACCAAGAAGAACCTATTTATAAATATATTAATTAAAATAATTATATATTTATTTAAACATACGAAACATCGTGTAATAATTTCATTTGGTTTTGGTAAATTAACTAAAACATCAAAATCAACCCAAAATGTATCTTTTTTTGCTGCTATTTGTTGTTGACCAGCTTGTGCTAATGCTTTACAAATAATTCCAAATGCACCCGTATAATTTTCTGGAACTAAAAATTCCATTAATAACGGCCATAAGACCTTTAAAAAAGAAAATATTCTTCTTTTTAAATTAAAAAATTTTTTTCGAAATTTTTACTTCATCCATTCCATCAATAGTTGAACTAAAAGCATTTAAAATATTTCGACACATTTTTCGAGTATCAGCTGTAGGTGATGATAACACATCTATTTTACTATCTTCATTTGCTGTTATAGGATAGGTACAATTTCGAATGATATATTCAATTAAAAATGTTCTTCCTTCTAATTGTAGATAGCCATGACATGCCATTGCAACAATTAATTGTGATAAATATTTTGTTATCTAAATAAAAAATTCAATAGAAACTAAAGTTTTCATAATAAAATACTTTTAATGTTGCTGTATTTAATGTTGGTCTTAAACTTGATACAAGTAATGATTTATAATCAAAAGGTGTTGATGGAGCATCATTACCAAATGCATAGACAAGATGACGATAAATAACAAGTAATACAATACGTAATTTATCATTTGAACCTGCTTGTTCCATTCGTTGTAATAACCATGGCCATATTGTTTGTGGTGCATGTTTACCTAGATAATAACTAAATGAAATCTTTTATATGGTAGATTATCTTATTTTACCAAGTATTTGTAATATTCTTAATAATTCATTTTGATTTTTTACAGCTTGTTCATTTCCATTTTCAAATGCTTCATAATTAATTTGAATCTATATAAGTATATAAATAAAATAAAATTTTGCATTTAAATAAAATTATCATACTTCATTTAAAACTTCTTTTAAAATTATATCCATCGAAGCTTTTAATTGTGGTAGATTCCATTGATTTGCTAAAAATACAACAGAATTTAATGTTTCACTAACATATAAATGATCGACATTTTTTCGATAAAATCCAAGAACATTTTGTAATAAACGTGGAAATTGTTCGGTAAATTTTGGTGCAGAAAACAAATAGATAAGACGACCAACAGCTTGTACGCAGATATTTCTAACCTATTGATTTCAAGAAAAAATAGTGTTAAATAAAATTCTTAGTGGTTTTTTTTGTCTCATTTACTTTTAGTTCTTTTGAACCTATCCAAGCTGATGTAAGAAAAACTTCATAAGCAGCAAAAGCATCATTTTCAAACTGTTGTGGTGCGAATGTTGTACGTATTGTTTCATCACCATTTGCTTGAAAATCAATTAAAGCCAGACAAAATTTAAAAATTACGGCTGTATAAACCCATCGATAATTTTCCT